ATGTCATCTAAACTGTTCTTCCTTAGGTCAAAACTTTTTTTCATAGTTATGAGTGTTTATGAAAAATTAAATCCTTTATTTTGAGATAAGTGTAGATTTCACATGCAGTTGCAAGACACACTGCAAAGAGGTCTCCCTCTACCATTTTATTCTAACAATAACATCTTACAAAACTGTAGTGCACTATCACAATCAAGACACTGACACTGAAGCTCCCCATTGACTTCATTTAAATTTCCCCAGTTTTCCCTGTACTCAGTTATGTGTGTGTCACACTCTTTTTCCTTTGCAAATGTATTGAATACTTTCCAGTCTTGAAATAATTAATTGCTTGATTTAAATTTAGTAAATGTATTTAGTGTATATTATGAACCAAAGATTGGTCTAAGGTTTTACAAATATTGGCCAGTGTTATCTTTATATAAATTCTATGGGGTAAGAATATTACTATTAGTCCCATTTTACAAATAAGGCAGCTAAGGCACAGAGAAGTTAATAAACTTGCCCAAGGCAACTCAGATAGTATGAATAGTAAAGCCTGAATTCAAGCCTATGCAGTCTGGTTCCAGGGTCTATGCTTTTATCCCCTCTTTCTCATGACCTCTTGAGACCTAAATGAACTCTGCTGAGTCTGGAGCTAGAAGCCATGAGCTCCTTGAATGTCCTTTGTTCCTTTGACATCACTATCTGTTGCTTCTCCTTGTACCTCTCTGACTACTCCTTTTTGGACCACTCCTCTTATGCCCATCTCTTAAATGTTGTTGTTCCCTAAGACAGTGTATTTAGCTCCCTGATTTTTTTGTGCTAAAGGCACATAAATCCATAGATATAAGCTTAGACCTCTTACCTGAGCCCCAGACTGATTCCTGATTGTTGGCTCTATCTCCCCTAGATGCCCATCAGATACTTCAAACTTCAATTTGTCGGAAACAGCACTAATCCATCTTTCCATCTTTTCCCCATAACTCACTTCCCTCCACATCCCCCCACCAAAGAAAGTCTATCTATTTGTCTGCATTCTGATCTTAAAGAATAATGCTTCCATTCATTCAAAATTACTCTCTATAATAGTCACAAAATGAAGAAATCATAGTACAGGTACTAACTGTGCTCTTAGTGAATAATTTATACTCTACAATAATATTTGGTTTTTATTTTATTCTGAAGTAATGACCTGGATTAGTTTGCTTACGGTGCCTGACACAGAGGCATAAAATGGAAAAATGCAAAAATCGAACACTTACGGAAAGATGTGACAAATCATTTTCCAATGGTAGAATTAAGGAAATAATTCTTAAAGAAGGACAAAATTAGTTATAAGAATGAAAGTATAATTAGAAATGATGATAAAGTACAATTATCCCAGTTCTCTGGGGAAAAGTGTTCTTTTTCAACTGTGCATTTTAACTACCAGAGGAAACATTCCTTATCTTACTAGGTATGTTAGGTTGTGAAAAAATAAGAGATGTCTAGAATATTTTGAGAGGTTATATAGAGGCCAAACCATCCTAGACTTCTCATCTTCCAACAAAAATAACAAAACAAAGAAACAAAAAACACACATAAAACAACAACAACAACAACAACAAAACCCAGAGAAGACTTGAGATAAATCTCCCGTAACTTAAATCCAAACATTTATCTCTCTCTGGAAAGCAGTAAGGTTAACAGCTGATGAACAAGAAAATGAAAACATCTGTAAGATACTAAATAAAACATGTATTGTTTTTACTTCATTGTGTGGCAAGAACATAAAACCTGTAGCTTTATGCCTCACTAGAGAGAATAAAAATTGTTATCATAAAATTATATAACATGAGTTTTGAAGAGGATCTCTTGCTGATTGAAAAAATGCTTTTACCATATTTGCAAAATGAATGTCTTGAATATTGACAAGCTCTAAAAATGAAAAGTGTGTAGACATAAATCAAGAGTAGAAGTGGTAGTTTTGTGATTTGATGATTCTTTTCTATGCCTGGAATACTTTTGAGAAGTCAAGATTTTTATATATTAAATAAATATATGTGTAATATTTAATATATTAAATATAATAAGAGTTAGACTATTTCAGTTACCAGGGTAAACATATCTGTAGAGCTACATCTACTAGGGTGCTGGACTTCCAACCCTCTGGAAAGATGCTAGCTCCTAACACAGTATCATTGAGGCCTCATTAGCACTTATAATAGTATAAAGATCCATCCTAATCAGGTGCACCGTGTACAAGTATGCATTGTAGAAATTATCATCATCATTTTTAATTATTGTCAAAAGTAAAGAAAGATTCAGAAATAACTCCTACAAAGTAATAATCCTAAATTATTTGCAGTGTAATCCATGGCAATGAGAGTTTATTCTGTGTGTTTGCTTTTTTTTCAGTTACAGAGATGGAAACAAGAGACCTTAATCCTCAGCTATGTTGAAACTCTTGTTCGGGTGAAATAAATTCACCCACACAAAGAACATAGTAGCTGATTGGTGGAAAACCTCCACCAGAGCAAGACCATGTCTGTTTTTTCTCTTCTGTTTATTCAGCTTAAGCAGAGAACCTCATACACTGTAGTAGATGCTAAATAATTATGTACTGGATAAATAATATACCAAAGTTAGAAATTCAGCTCTGGTAGGACAGAAAAAGAAACAGAGCAATATTGATTGTGTAGAATGTGATTTGCCCTTTTACTGGGCACTTTGTGTAAAGGATCACTTAATTCTCTCCAGAGCCCTATAAAACAGGTATATTATCCTCATCATATGAATGGTAAAGACCTTGATCCTTGACATGTATAGTGGGCCAGGAATTAACTAACTAGGGCTGAGACTGTCACTATGACTTGAACTCATGCCAGGATTTGCATATGGCCTTGACCTCTCCCCCAGCTCTTGTGAATTTCTCATCCTTCTCATCCTTCAGGTCTCTGCTTAAAAGTCACTTAAGTGTGACTTCTTCAAGAAGGTCTTCCCTGTAACCTTTCCTGGATTAGACTGTCTCCCATTCTTGCTCTGGAGCACTTACCACTGTTCTACCAAAATGATCATCTCTGGAGCTCCTTATTTCATATGTGCCTTCTCTGATAGATTCCAAACTCCCCAGAGGACTTCGTCTGTCCTGTTGATTGTTTATCCCCAACACTTACTACACTCTCTGACATATAATATGTTTTCAAAAATATTTGATGAATAAATGAATGATGGGAAAACCCAGGCTTGCAAAAGTTAACCCATTCGAAGTCCCAAAACTAGTGCTATGAGTGGATTTTAAGCCAGGGGCTAACAAATTCCAGAGACTACAATTTAGAACAATTTAGAACAAGAAAAAGGAAGATTGATTTATGATTAAATAAACAGAAAGTAATTAGTAAGGATCTAACATCCTCCATTAAGTTAAAAAAATAACAAAAACTGAACAGGGTCGTAATAATCACCCCCACTGTTATAGAAATCATCCTCATCACAGTTAATGCCAGATATTGTCCTAAACATTGTATATGGGTTATCATTATTTAAACCTCATAATAACTCCAAGATAAGTATTATCATTATTTCTGTTTTAAAGATTTAAAAATTTCCCCAGTAATATAGCCAAGCAAACCAAAGCAATCTGACTTCAGAACCCACATGCACTTAAAAGCAAATTTATTCGAATTTCAGACTTGGGATTTTTGTTGTTGTCTTGCTTATTTACTTGTTTCCTTAGACCTACAACCTACAGATTTTTAATGACTAAAATTAGGGGTGGCTCAACTGCCAAAAAAGAGATTATAATTTTAGGCTGATTTACTCCAACTGTAATATCCAGAATAGAGGAGTTAATAGTTTCTGGGCCCCTTTCCCTGAAATAGTTAATGTTCCTATATACCTAATTTGGGGAGCGCCTGGGTGGCTCAGTTTAAGTGTTTGACTCCTGGTTTCAGCTCAGTTCTTGATCTCAGAGTCATGAGTTTGAGCCCCACATTCGGCTCCAGGCTGGGCGAGGAGCCTACTTAAAAAAAAAAAATGAAATTCTACATACCAAATTCGGGAACAGGAGCTCACAGTCCCCTTTCATAAAGGGAAAATATCTTTCTGGAAAGAAATCTACTCATACTTACACCAATAACAAGTTTAGGGAAAGAACTCTCAGAATATGAACTAGAAATCAGATTTCCTGCTATCCTGGAGGACACTGCTGCCCCCTTGTGCCTCGATGTTGTAATAAAACACTCAGAATGTTTGAGGCCGGCTAGCTGATCTGGCGCATCACCTGAGCTCTGTAGACCCCTCTGAAGCTCTCTGGGCAGCTGACTGAGAGTAACCAGGTAGGTGCCCAGTCTCCTTCTGAGCCACTGTGCCCACAGTGGGGAACCTAGAAGCATTGCGAGTCAAGGCGGGACTGTCCTCCCAGGCAGTGACCCTTGCTAATTGTCCCCCTTAGAGAAGAGCCTCTGAAGAATCACTGGAGGCAAAGAAGGGTAAGACTTCTTAAGTATTTGCAGCAAACAGAATTTAATTAAACAGAATAAACATTCCTGACTTGTAGCCAAGCTCCAGAGACTCAGGGCTGCTCCTTAAACAGCAACTTGCTGAGAAGCAAGTACCTGAAAGAGGGACAAAGAATTCTTTTCTCAGAATTAAGAACAAGAAAAGAGAGGGAAAGGAATATATAATAAGATGTATTTGAGGGCTGGGTTTGACCGTGTCCTATACCTTCCTCATGAAAGCAAATGAAATGACTGTCCTGCATCTCCTCATTGGGACATTTGAATTAATTTATGAAAAGCAGTTAGATTTTTCATGCTGTTTTGCCCTGGTGTTTTTGTTTTTGTTTTAATAAGAAAGGCTTTATTTTTAAGACAAAACAAATAGCATAAACACACATCCAAATGCACATGAGTAAGTTCACTGGGTTTTATAAAAGAGAAAGCTGCACTCGGGTGTCAGTTATAACAGATGCCCCCTGCTTCTGGTGGCATGGATACAACATGTGCTTGTCTAAGAAGTCGTTCTGGGGTAGCCATGACAAGAGTGAGGTGATACAAGACAGAAATGCAGGTACGTGAAAGCTTTAAGACCCTTTTCACCACCCTAATGTGCTTTTGTTTTGCTCTGGGGAATTGAAGCAATCAGCAGGTCACCTTACAAAGAACTTAAATGTCAAAGAACACTTTCAAATACCTAAAAGAGATTCAAGATTGTTACTAAAGTTATACAGGGAGATCAGTAGGAGAAAATAGTTTATGTTCTCAAAACCCAGGTTTCACACAATATGAAGAGACTGATTTTAGTAAAGGCTGGTCTTTTTCATGATGCGCAGGAACTCCTGCCCATTGGCTTCTCCATCTCCATCTCGATCAGCCTCATCGATCATTTCCTGTAGCTCCTCATCAGTGAGGTTCTCATCCAACTCCTTGGCCACACGTTTTAGATTTTTGAATGATATCTTCCCAGTTTCATCATCATTGAAGAGCTTGAAAGCTTTCAGAATTTCTTCTTTGGTATCTTTCTCAGACAGTTTCTGAATCATCACAGTCAAAAAGTCACTGAAGTTCATTTTTCCTGTCCCTTCCTTATCGATATCACTTATCATTTCCTTGATCTCTTCTTTCTTGGGTTCAAAGCCCAGTGCCCTCATTGCCACCTTAAGTTCCTTAACATCTATGGTCCCAGTTCCATCAGCATCAAAGAGATCAAAAACTTCCCAGATTTCCTGTTTCTGCTCTTCAGTAAGCTCTGGTTTAGGACTCATCCTTTTTTGCTGGGCAGATGATGCCATGCTTGCCTTCTTAAAGTTAGAGGCCATTGTCAATGGACTCCACTGCCTGCCCTAATGGGTTTTAATATGAATTTATTTGTGTGAATATTTGAAGAATGCTTGTCTTCCCCATGGACTGTAAGCTCCAAATTGGTGGGGACCATGCTTACTGACCTGGGAATATTTGTTGAATAAATGATTAATGATTTTTTCTTTTTTGAGTGTGAATTAATAGGTTTGAAAAATATTGGATAAAAGTTCCCCATGAGTTTATTTTTCTTTTCTACAGCCTTTCATGGAGGCAACTTACTAAGATAAAAGAGCTTTATAGCCAAACACGGGTTCAAATCCCAGTCCTATGGCTGAATATCTGCTTGACCTTAGGGAAGTTTCTTAAACCTCTCTGAGCTCATTTCTCACATACCATGTAAGAAAATATCTACTTCCTTTGCTTATTATAAGGACTTAATGAGAACACGCATCTCCTACACAAGCTGGCTCAGTGCCCAGCATACCATGGGTGATCATTAACTGCTACTTTTATTCATCCTGCACCCTCTGCATTCCCTCAAAGCTGAATATATCTTAGAACAGATTTTTCTACAATCTAGACAAGTCAAATCAACTGTATCTACATACATAGACACACCCATATGCAATCTCATAGATTATACTTCTTTGTCCAGCAGAACTTCCACCAAATTTGTCAGTAAACAATAAAGTGAGCTCATTTCCATTTCCTCACTCTGTTGAGAGATATAATAAAATGACAACAGGGTCATTGCATATGTTAGGGTGTTTTTGACTCTAAGTAACTGAAAACCAATAAATAAAAATGGCTTACACAATGAGGAAAATGTATGATCTCACATAAGAAGCCAAAAGAAGATAGGCACAATGAAGTCATCAAAGAGCCAGAATCTAGCCAATGCAGTAGGTCAGGAAAAGAAGACTGAGGATAAGATTGCTGCAAAGCTGCAGAAAAATACATCTTCATATAATCGTATATATATAATATATATAATATATATATATATAATATATATAATAATACATAATATATATATATAATAATACATAAATATATATGTGTGGTGGATGTGTATATCATCATATTGGTGTTTTATTCTTTACAACTGAAACATTGCACGATTATTTTAAGTAGAATTTTTTATTCAGTTGTGTTTTCTTTTTCCAATATCAGTAGGCTGATGTCATGCCAATTTGAAAGTGATTTAATCAATTCATAAAATCTGCATAATGACCTTGATGATATAGAGCAGAAAAGAATAAGGACAGGACACCCCTCAGCATATGGAATACGATTCATAGCAATATTGCGTCATAACAATCATGAAAAGAATATTCAATTTTGCAGTCAATGCTGGTCCTGTGCACTCCTGAACACAGCCTTGACAGGGTGGATTCCTTTCAAATCTAGTTAAACTAGGGTTCCAAGTAGTGAATTTTACTATAGAAAAGACACTTAAACAGAAACTGCTATGAAAACTGAGGTCAACTCATATTGAGAAGAAGCAGACTGTAGTTTTCAGACCTCTAAAGATGGCCCACTCATGATTCCTGTCTCCTGGTTATTCAACCAAACACTAATCGAGGTATTGCCTTAAAGAGATTTTACAGGTGTAATTAAAGTCCCATATCAGTTGAACTTAAGATACAGAGATCATCCTTGTGGGTCTGATCTATTCATATGAGCCCTTTAAAAGATAAGTGAAATCAGAACTTGTGAGAAGAAAACTGAGCAAGGCACCCAGCTAGTAGTCCACCATGTAATGGGGACCTCAGTCCTACAACCAAAGAAACAGAATCCTGCCAACAATCTGAATGAGCTAGGAGGAACACGGCCAGGTCCACAAGAGAACCAGTCAGCTAACATGTTGAGTGTGAGACCCTGAGTAGAGAACAGAGCTGAGCCATGACAGACTCTTGCCCCACAGAACTAAGATAATAAACTTGTATTGTCTTAAGTCACTAAGTTTTGAGCAATTTTTTGTGCAACAATAGAACTAATACATGGGACTTTTCTTCGGTCACTGTTGTCTTTCCCCCTCACCCCCAATGGTTTTGGATACCTGAAAAACTTAACTCTGTTGTAATTGACAAAATGAGTTTTGACCAAATAAACCCTCTCTTTGCATAAAGTTGGAGAAATCTTTTTCTGAAGACTCATTAAATCAAATAACTACATGCATTTTAATAAAGGTTTGGGGCTTGGGCCTGATCCCAGAAAGGCTTTTCCTACAGAATTTGGGCAACTTCATTCTGCAAAATCAGCATAAGTGATAAGTGACTTGAGAATATTAAAAGACATCCAACATTTGTAGAGTTTCTAGAATAGTGCTAGGATCTTTATATACATATTGTAGATGAGTTATCATTTCTTCACTGTAAAATTCTATTACTTTCTACATTTTATAGACTGAGACTCAGAGGCTGGACATTTCAATGATTTCTTTGTTAGTAGAGCTGGAACTTGAGATTTTTTTTCTTTTCTTTCTTTTTTTTTGGCTGTAAATCTCATGTAATTTCCCTCTTCCTTAGAGTTGGAAAAGAGAGTTTGAGGTGCAGAGAAAATTTGCCTTGTGCCTGGGATTTCTCCATCACCCTGGGTGACTGGGGAACCTCACTGGGCTCAGAATGTGCCTGTACTTCACACTCAAACAACTGAACTGAATCTTGATTATCACCCAGCACTTGTGTCTTTTCCAATATTAGGGAGGGAAGTCTTTCTCCAATTTTTTTTGATATAAAATTTATATTTAGCCCAAAGAGTGTATTAGAGAATGCAGAAGTTTCTTAATGCAAATTTTGGAAGCAGCAAAATAGACCCATCATGTTGGTTGTATCCAGTTTTTAAAGTTTTTCTTTTCTATACACTATTTTAATTTTCTATTGTTTTTTACATGTGATGTCAGTATTTCTTAGAGGCCATTTTACAGGTGAGGAAACTTAGACTGGAAGAAAATAAATGACATTAGAATAGAAATTTAACCCAACAATTACACTACTAGGTATTTACCCCAAAGATACAAATGTAGTGATCTGAAAGGGCACCTGCACCCCAATGTTCATAGCAGCAATGTCCACAATAGCCAAACTATGGAAAGAGCCCAGATGTCCATCAACAGATGAATGGATAAAGAAGATATGGTATACATATATAATGAAATATTACTCAGCCATCAAAAGGGATGAAATCTTGCCATTTGCAATGACATGGATGGAACTAGAGGGTATTGTGCTAAGTGAAATAAGTCAATCAGAGAAAGACAATTATCATATGATCTCACTCATATGTGGAATTTAAGAAACAAAACAGAGGATCAACTGGGAAGGGAGGAAAAATAAAACAAGAGGAAATTAGAGAGGGAGACAAACCATAAGAGACTCTTAACTATAGGAAACAAACTGAGGGTTGCTGGAGGGGAGGTGGGTGGGGGATGGGGTAACTGGGTGATGGGCATTAAGGAGGGCATGTGATGTAATGAGCACTGGCTGTTACATGCAACTGATGAATCATTGAACTCTACCTCTGAAACTAATAATACACTGTATGTTAGTTAATTGAATTTAAATTTAAAAAAAGAAAAGAACAGAAATTTATAACCAGTTCTAGTTCTTAGTGATCAGCTTTTATGTTCTGAAAACTAAAGGGCCAATCCTCTTATTTAAATGAGCTTTTTACAGCCCAATTGTTGAATACAGTAAAGATTTTAAAATTTTTATTGAAATAAGAAATGTTTTCTTCTGACCCTGGTGGTTTCCTCTTAATTTCTATGAACATGTTTATGATAAACAGTGATGAGGGTAGGGGGTGGAACCAAGATTTTGACCTCAAAAATTCTTCATAACCATTTAATGGTCTTTAGTGGTGGTTAGGGACAGATATATATATATATATATATATATATAAGAGAAAACTGGGACTTTGAATAATACAACACAAGGCATCTGGGGCTCCTGGGTGGCTCAGTCGGTTGAGTGTCAGATTCTTGGTTTCTACTCAGGTCATGATCTCAGGCTCTTGATCTCAGGGTCCTGAGATTGAGTCTTGCTTCAGGCTCCATGCTCAGTGGGGAGTCTGCTGGAGATTCTCCCTCTCTCCCTCTCTGTCTCTGCCCCTTCCCCTCCCAAATAAATAAATAAATCTTTTTAAAAAATACAACACAAGTCATCAAAAGTGTTCCTCAGCACAATTAAATAGAGAAGAACAGCAAATTACAGAGAAAAAAGTATTTCAGAGTGTATGGCATTCCAAAAATTTGCCCACAAGTTTTTCAAAGAAGCAGCCAGAGCAAATTTATTTTTTAATTTCTTTTTTTTTTAAGATGTTATTTATTTATTTGACAGAGAGAGAGACCACAAGTAGGCAGACATGCAGGCAGAGGGAAAAGGAGAAGCAGGCTCCCTGCTGAGCAGGGAGCCTGATGCTGGGCTCGATCCCAGGATGCTGGGATCATGACCTGAGCCGAAGGGCAGACGCTTAACCAACTGAGCCACCCAGGTGCCCCTATTTTCTAATTTCTTAAAAGCTAAGAGCAGGTTGAAGGGGTACCTGGCTGGCTCAGTTTGTAGAGCATGTGACTCTTGGTCTCAAGGTTGTGAGTTTAAGCCCCATGTTGGGTGTAGAGCCTATTTAAAAAAAAAAAAAAAAAAAAGCTAAGAGCTGGTTGAGCATTTATCCGTTTCAGATAAACATTTTTAATACTCTCTGTTCTAAACACTGTTGGGCTCTATAAAGATCAGTCCCTGCCTACAGAGTATTTACCAAGTCTAAGAGGAACAGAGAAATCCACATACAGAATCTGGGGATATTAGCAGTACAAGTCATGGCATAGCACCATTTAAACTTTCAGAAATTCTCCCATAATTGTGAAATGCAGGCCGTGTTTAAATTTCATGCTACTAAGAGAGTGACTTTTCTGAGCAACCCCATTCCAAGCTAGGGAAGTGGGGAGTGGAATTTAATTTAGAAGAACCTATGCTTTCCCAATTGGATTAGGTATTAAGCAGGGTGGAATAATATATAAAG